AAAATTACAGGAAAATGGATACAACTGGAAATTGCTATAGTAAATGAGGTAACCCAGATTCAGAAATGCAAATACCACATGCTCTCTAATATGCACGTTCTTTATTTTAATTAGTTTATGTGTGGGTATATATGTGAGGAGTAGATAAGATCACAAAAACATGAATGGGATCATGAAGGGAAGAAGAGCTCTTAAGCTCAGGGAAGATAAGATGCTAATAGAACACAGGTGACGTGCAGAAAAGAAGGGTACAAGCGGAGGAGTAGGGGAAAGAGAGTAGGAGAAGAAAATCAATAAAGACAAAGGGGCCAGCCCACACATGCTTTTAAACCCAGTGCTCGGGAGGTAGAGGCAGGCAGATGTCTGTAAGTTCAAAGCCAACCTGGTCTACAAAATGAGTTCCAGGACAGCCAAGGCTATTACGCAAAGAAACCCTGTCTCAAAACAAAAGAAAATATAAGTGAAGCAGGTATGAGGGACAAAAGAGGCAAGACAGATATTAGTGATAAACAACCTAGACCACAGAGATAGCAGCTATGCCTAGGCTAAGACACCCTCTGTCCTGTCCTGCAGAGCAGAGCCAACGCTCTGTGCTGTGGAGGTAAAAAGGGAGCGCTCACTAGTGCTGCTATCTTGAGAAGAGCTCTGCTAGGAAAACACATCCCACAGGAGTGGTCAGCAGCCTAGTCCAGAAGCATGGCCGCCATACCTTCTTCTTCCTACTTCCTGCAGTGGCAAGGGTCCTATGATGCATCTGAAGATGTAGGTCTCCGTGCTTTCAGGGCTGTGGGTAGGAGACTTTGAGGAGTACACAACCTTCCTGGCAAGCCATCCTCACACCTCCCGCTTCATCTGATCAGCCTTCCAATGAGCTCCCTGCCCCAGACATGCTTGCTTTGTAGACCAGGCTGGCCTCAAACTCACAGAGATCCACCTGCCTCTCTCCGAACCCACAGAACTGCCTGCCTCTGCCTCCCTGGAGCCGGGATAGAAGCATTTCTTTAACTGATGTTTCCTTTCCCTAGATAATGCTAGCTTATGGCAAGTTGACAAAGGACCAACCCAAACATCATATAACAGGAAAACAATACTCCAGCTAGATACCACATGCTGGCAGGTACAAACCCTAGGAATGAGTTACCACTTTTGAGTTGTTACCCAAACATTAATAACTATTCTCATTGCTCTTCATTACCACCCAGAACTTGATGGTAGACTCTACTGCAACTGACATCACTTACTTGAGTCATTAACGTGGAAGTTTGATCACTACTAGCTAGCTTTCATGGTGCTGCAAGATGCTATGTACGCTACCGGAAAATTCATCATCAGTCTCACCTAACTGTGAACGCTGAGGGCTACAATCATGACCTGCCTGGCAAGTTAGGCCCACGAGCACAATAGTGACAAACGTTATAGAAAAAACTAGCCACTTTTTGGGTGTATTTAAGACCCTCTGCATGAGGTGGAACTCATACCTGGCACTGTGAATGAAACAAGAACCTGTGGCTAGACATGTCACAGGACCTAGAGGAAGATCTGCCGAGTGAAGATAACATTAAAAATGACCCCAAATAACTTACAGCCGTGCCCGTAGGTCAGTGCATCTCTCAACTCTCATCAGAGAAGCTTCTTGCAATAGATGGTGATGAATATAGAGACACACAACTGGTCAACATGCAAAAGATGAGAGACCTCAGAGTGCTGAGTCATAACTGGGGCCTCTGTATGATGCCCCTCCCTCCAAGACTTAAGGATCTTCGTGGGAAAGGGGATGGAAAGAGTCTAAGAGCCCCACGGGGTGGATGACTTCAAGGAAGCAGTCTCCCAGACACGAGAGGACAGTTGCACATATAACTCACAGCATTTATATCAGCATTATAAAATATGTGCCAGCAAACCAGACAGATTCCAAGCACGGAAGTGGGAGGTGGCCACAAAGCCCCCCCCCCCCCCCAGCGGAGGACTGGCGTTTTCCAGCTACTCAGAGGAGAGCCACATTTCTATAATGGTGTGCTCACTGCTAGGTCAAACACAATTCCTAGCAGGCTCTACATCAAGGACTTGGTGGGATTTTGGTGGGGGGTGTAGGGGGGGTGTAGGGGGGGTGTTTTGTTTTGTTTTGTTTTTTAAGAACAAGAAATTGAGAGGGTAGGAAGGTAGTATGGAAGGATCTAGAACAGCAGTTCTAAACCTGTAGGTCACAACCCCTTTGAGGTCACGTACAGACATCCTGCATGCCAGATATTTACATTACTATTTATTACAGTAAGAGAATTACTGTTGTGAAGTAGCAGTGAAATCATTTTGTGGTTGGGTCACCACATGACCCCACGAGGAGCTGTATGAAAGGGTTGCAGCATTAGGAAAGTTGACAATCACTGGTCTAGGAGGAAAAGGTGAATATGATCAAAATACATTATGTGAAATTCTCAAAGAACTAATAAAAATACTTTTGTAAAAAAAAAAAAAAAACAGGCAGAACCAAGCCAAGTCTGGTGATATACTTACATAATTCTAGAACTTGGAAGACAAAAGCAAGAGAATTAATAATTTAAAGACAGCCTGGAGACCACCCATCTCAAAACAGACAGACAGAGAGAATAAGAATATTGCTTACTTCTATCTAATTTCAAACAATCCTCCTTTCTCAGATTTGCAAGTAGCTAGAACTATAAGGCTCATGCCCCAAAATTTGAAAGTTTTTTTTTAATTTATAAATATCATTCATATTTGATTATGGGTTGCATTGGAATGTAGATTTGCTTGGATAATATGAATGGTTTAACAATATTAATTATCCCACCCCACTTATCCGGGATATCCCTGTTTCTGTCTATGTATCTCCAATTTCTTTCTTCAGTGTTTTATAGTTTTCACTGTAGAAATCTTATGTCATTGCTTAGATTTATTCCTAAGTGTTTTGTCTAGCTATTGTAAGTGAGACTTCTGTTTAAGAAAATTCACTGCAAGTACATAGAAATGTTGCTGGCTTGTATATGTTGTTTTTGTGTCTAATAACTTTACTTTCAGTTTATGATCATAAATGGTGGAATCTTCACAGTTACTTGGGCTGGAGAGATGGCTCAGAGGTTAAGAACACTGGCTGTTCTTCCAAAGGTCCTGAGTTCAATTCCCAGCACCCACAAGGTGGCTCACAGCCATCTATAATGAAATCTGGTGCCCTCCTCTGTCATGCAGCCGCACATGCAGGCAGAACACTGTATAAATAAATAAATCTTTTTTAAAATGTCTTCTGAAAACAGTAACAATTTAACTTCACCCTTTCTTGCCTTTTATTTAATTCCTCCTTATATATAGGATTTCCTGCATCCATGTCTTATTCCAAATCAGCTTATTGCTGATGGCTGAATTTCTGTGAGCTCATTTACTGCCAGATTATTTTATTTGGATTTGTATTAAGTACTTCCACAATATCAATATTTAACTCCCATCCAGTGTATGCCTGACTATTCTTCCTGACCAGAAAGCCTGTGGTGGTATAAGACAGGGTCCCTGGAGAATCCAAGACATTCCCTCTCTCTGGTTACAAGAGTTCAGAGGACACAATGAGTTGAATCTTGTACAGTGGAAACAGGTCTGTTAATGAGCTTGGGCTCTAAGTGTTACAGGACATGCACAAGGCAGCCAGTCAGCTTACTGCTCTGGCTTTCTCTGTACCCCCTCTCCCAAAGTGACCTTTGATCACTGCTGCTGTCGCTTCAGCAAGCACCCATGACTTGCTGCTCTTGTTTCATGTGTTCACATGATTTGTAGATCTGCCTTCCTTGCCCGACCCCAGGATCAGCAGCAGTATTTATAAGGATCTACGGGATATCAAATATTATATGCAGGGTAAAGAGCCCACCCTGAGCCCCGGGGTTTAGATGTTTCTATCTTAAAAAGAAAATTTAAAAGGCAGTTAGCCACAAGCAACATACTGTTAATTGCCTAAATCATTGTGTGTGCCCAAGTACACTTGTATGTGGCGGCTGTGCATTAAGTACCACATATTCAAATATCTGTAAAATATAGTGGAGAAGCCACAAAGGCAGTAGGCTTAGTCACAGAAGATTTTAGACACCTTCATGGCAAAGCTGCTGCTAGGAATTAGGGAAGGGGTACTCACATCCTTCGCTACGTGAAGGCTACAGCTATTAAAATGACAGCCAGGCTGTGCGGATCCTAGCCAACTCTTTTTGAACCAGGAGTTAACTTCTTGCTAACCGTTGTCATCATCTTTGGTGTCGTTGTAAGATCAGGTATGACATGATGTTTAAAAATCTCAAGTAGGACCAGGCATAGTGGCACTCACCTTTGATCCCAGCACTTGGGAGATCTGCAGAGACAGGCAGATCTCTGTGAGTTTGAGGACAGCAAATTCTAAGACAGCCAGGGCTACCCTGAGAAACTTTGTCTTGGTGGTGGGAGAAAGAATAAAATCCCAAGTAGAAGCTGTGAAGAGTGAGAAAAACAGGGATTTTTCAGTGTTTCTTTTAACATTGTACAGAAAAACAGTTTTTAAAACCCCACAAACGCTGAGTTTTGACAGGGCCATCCTGACATTTTAATGGTTGACAAGAAAATGATAATGCTTTCTCTGGCTTCAGAGAAAGCTGCAAAGAGAGTCACAGCCTCTTGTGTAGAATGGCTCTCGACAGGACTGACTGGGACAGAAATTAATAGGCTTCCCATTGTTCTGTGCATTTTTGCCAGGATATTTCATTAGTGTAAACAGTGAACACTTTGTCATCTTGCTTCGCCAGTTGACCCGGTGAGTCTCAATTCTGCTGGCCCCATGAAGTACAGAGGTGGCAGGCACGAGACAGGCACTAATTATTGGAAGCAGAAGCCTCGCTGACCCCGTACGAGATTAACTGCTCCTTTACAGTTTTTATTCCAGGGCATTAGCACTGTCTGATTATCTTGCTTCGGCTGAGAAATTCAGGACAATAGCAGTGCTGATGGTAACATTGGCAATCTCCCTGTTTGTTCCGCAGGTCACGGCCAGGGGCTTTGGACCACTGCTACAGTTTGCCTACACAGCCAAGCTGTTACTCAGCAGGGAGAACATCCGAGAGGTCATCCGCTGTGCTGAGTTCCTGCGCATGCACAATTTGGAGGACTCCTGCTTCCGCTTCCTGCAGACCCAGCTCCTGAACAGCGAGGATGGCCTGTTCGTGTGCAGAAAGGACAGTGTGTGCCAGCGCCCTGAAGAGCACCATGGGAACTCTGCGGGAGAAGAGGAGGAGGAAGACACAATGGACTCAGAGACGGCTCGGATGGCTTGCCCCACAGGCCAGATGCTTCCAGACCCCATTAGCTTTGACGCTACTACCATCCCAGTAGCAGAGAAGGAAGAAGCCCTGCTACCTGAGTCTGAGATCCCCGCAGACACCAAGGAACACTCAGAAAAGAATGCATTGACACAGTACCCTAGATATAAGAAGTACCAGCTTGCATGTACCAAGAATGTCTATAGTGCACCCTCTCACAGTACCTCAGGGTTTGCAAGCACATTCAGTGCAGACAGTCCTGGCAATAGCCTCAAACCGGGGCTCCCCGTGGGACAGATTAAAAGTGAGCCACCCAACGAAGAGACTGAAGAGGAGAGCATCACACTCTGCCTTTCCGGAGATGAAGCTGACATCAAAGACAGACCAGGGGATGTCGAGATGGACCGAAAACAGCCCAGCCCTGCCCCTACCCCCAGCACCCCTACTGGAGCCACCTGCCTAGACAGATCCAGGAGTGTGTCCTCGCCTTCCTGTCTCCGGTCTCTGTTCAGTCTAACAAAAGGCGTGGAGTCGTCTGGCCTGCCCAGTACATCTCAGCAGCACTTTGTCAGGAGTTCAGCATGCCCTGTTAACAAGGGGATCTCTCAGGGTGACCTTAAAACTGATTACACCCCTTTCACAGGGAATTACGGACAGCCCCACGTGGGCCAGAAAGATGTGTCCAACTTCACGATGGGGTCGCCACTCAGGGGGCCTGGGCCAGAGGCTCTCTGTAAGCAGGAGGGAGAGCTGGACCGGAGGAGTGTCATCTTCTCCTCTAGCACGTGTGACCAAGCGAGCACTCCAGTGCATCCATACTCTGGGGTGAGCAGTTTGGACAAAGACCTCTCCGAGCCGGTGCCAAAAAGCCTATGGGTGGGAGCTGGCCAGTCCCTGCCCAGCTCCCAAGCCTACTCCCACAGTGGACTGATGGCCGACCACTTGCCAGGAAGGATACGGCCCAACACCAGCTGCCCGGTGCCAATCAAAGTCTGTCCCCGTTCACCTCCACTAGAGACCAGAACCAGGACCTCCAGCTCCTGCTCCTCCTACTCCTATGCAGAGGATGGGAGCGGGGGCTCCCCCTGCAGCCTCCCTCTCTGTGAGTTCTCCTCCTCACCCTGTTCCCAGGGAGCCAGATTCCTTGCCACAGAACATCAGGAGCCAGGCCTGATGGGAGATGGAATGTACAACCAAGTCCGACCCCAAATTAAATGTGAGCAGTCTTACGGAACCAATTCCAGTGACGAGTCTGGATCATTCTCGGAAGCAGACAGTGAGTCGTGTCCCGTGCAGGACAGGGGCCAGGAGGTAGGGAACCCACATAAGTTCAAGCATATGACCTGCTATCTCAGTCCTTTACCCGATTTTGTCCCTCTCCCCAAACACTGCCCTCATATTGTTCTTCTGTGTTGTCTTGCCAGAGTTTCTAAGGCTGTGATGAAACACCATGACCAAAAAGCAAGTTGGGGAGGAAGGGGTTTTTATTCAACTTGCGCTTCATCACTTTGCTGTTCACCACCAAAGGAAGTCAGGACAGGGCTTCAAGCAGGGCAGGAACCTGGAGGCAGGAGCTGATGCAGAGGCCGTGGAGGGGTGCTGCTTACTGGCTTGCATGGCTTGCTCAGCCTGCTATCTTATAGAACCCAGGACCACCAGCCTCGGGATAGTACTGCCTACAAGGGGCTGTGCCCTCCCCCATCAATCACTAATTAAGAAAATGCCATACAACCAGAGATTATGGAGGCATTTTCTCAATTAAGATTCCCTTCTTCCTGAGTCGGGCATGGTGGCGCACACCTTTGATCCCAGCACTTGGGAGGCAGAGGTAGACAGATCTCTTGAGTTATTGGCCAGCCTGGTCTACAAAGTGAGTTTTGCTACAGCCAGGGCTACACAGAGAAACCCTGTCTTGCGGGCAGCGGAAAGGAAGGAAGGAAGGAAAAAAAAGATTCTTTCCCTCCAGATATCTCTAATTTGTGTGTGAAGTTGGCATAAGCCGAGCCACCGTGTGTGTCAAGTTTAAGGGTGACAGTCAATGGACCAGCTCTTTCTTCCTTGGGGGCAGAGTGCTGCATTGTGGTTCAGAATTAACCACTGCAGTCTTGGCACTTGACCTCTGCCCTGGATGCCAATGCTCAATGAGCAGAGGCCAGCTAGAGGCAATGCCTGTAAGCTGTTCAGGCACGTCTCCTCCTTCCCCTCCACTGCTATCACTCCCCTCTCTCCCACTTACTTTGGATGAATGCTCTCGTGTTTGCTCTTTGCCCCTTCGATAGGAAGGAAAATGAAGGCGCTCTTTCAAATGGATTAATCAGAACTAAACAGGGCCTCACAAACAGGTGCTTTTCTGCACCTTGTAAGTATTTCTTGTCTACAGAAGATTCCAAGGTGGCCCCATATCTGTCACACGGCAGAGAACAGAATGCTTAGCGTCCATCCTAGATGTGGGGTTTCTGAGGAAGTGCCCTAGTCAGCATGCATAACCGCGTCACGCCTGTTCCCCAGGCCCCACAAATGTTAAGAAGCCGTTCATTCGGCAGGTCGTGTTTTGGTCCAGCCTGAAAGGATTGTGCTTCGTAAAAGATTTTTTAAAAAAAGTATATAAAGGCTTCATCTATGTCACTGTTTCTGGGAGTGGAAGCCGGGGCAGCACTGGCTACATTAGAAGCAAGACTCACATGACTACAAGAAAGAAGAATAGGAGTCCCAGAGCTCCCTACTTCCCTAGTGATTTGAATGTTCCCTAGACAAACCTAAGCATGTCTAGGTCATGACCCGGCACCCACTGCACTGTCTTGTTGAATGACAAGCTAAAGACAGCCACTGTAGTCCTTATCTGCTTTTCCTAGATATCAGCCTCTTATTGAGCAAAGATTAACTCTATCAGATGGCAGAAATACCGTGAAACACGGAGAGGTGAGGCAGTCACAGAGAGCCGCGTGCAGTTTATTCAGCATTCACAAGATCTGTGGGCAGAAAGCACGTGAGCTTTAACTTCAAGGCGCTGAAAATGAGCTCCAAACCTGCCTTGAGCTAGCTGCAAACACACCCTGGACTCACTTCCTCTTCTCTGCTAGTGTGCCTAGTCCCCGCTTTCCTGTTCCTGTCTGACCCTGTCGGCTGATGTGGGGCTGCCACCAGTGCCCCAGACGTGTGGCCCTGTCCCTACCTCAAGGGGAGTGAGACTTCCTAAAAGCAAGGATAGCCTTGTTCTCTCCTCTTGCATTCTTTCTCCCAACAGCCCTCGTGAGGTTTGCTTTTGATCCCTAGAACTGGGCGTCTCATGCGGAAAGCTAGTCATTGAGTCAGCTCCATCCCACAGGTGACCTCACCAAGGGCTGGTGGAGGAAGGAGAGATGCCTCCAAGTGTTTGGTGTCTCCGGAAAAGAGGCCTACATTTAGCCCAAGAAATTATGTTGCAGATACCCAGTGACATCCACAGGAGTAGGTTGTTGTTGCATGGTTTGGTTTGGTCTGGTTTTTCGGTTTGGGCTCTGCCACTCTCTACCTTAGAACTGAAAACTGTGACACAGTTAGGGGGAGGATTCACCCAACCTGTGAAACAGCCACAAACAGGACCACTCTCCCCTTAAAATACTCTTGCACTTAATTTTTATTTTTATTTTTATTTTTATTTCTTTTTTATTTTTTTTTCACTTTTAGTTTTCAAAACAAGCCTATTATACTTTCATAAGCAGTAAAAAATACATTTGCCAAAACTCACTGCCATTTCATGAGTCACAGTCTGCCCCCCTTGGTAGCTTGTGTTGGGCAGGAGGACGATAGCAAAGATGAGATTGCTTCCCCCCTCCACCCCCATAGAGAAACTTATTTCCCAGAACTACCCAGGCAGTCAGCATGAGGGCGCCTCTGGGAGTCAGTGACTTGTTTCAGGAGTTACTTGGCCTAGGCAGACATTCTGCCCATAAAGTACACTGAATTCCCATGAGTTTTAACTTGTTTTCTTGAACTGATCCATTAAAAAAAAAAAAAAAAAAAAAAAAAAAAAAAAAAAAAAAAAAAAAAAAAAAAAACAGCATCTGGCATCTATCTTGGATTCTGCCAGATTGCTGTTAGGTGGGGTGTAGGTGTTTTCTTCCAAGGCCACAAGAGACAACCGAGTCTGAAACCAAGCCTGGGGCTCCTTGCCCAACCAGATGCCATCAGCGCTGCAGCACGGAGACATGAACATACCTTACCTTCTGTAAAGCCGATCACTGTTAAATAACTCCCCTAGCTCATGAAAACACAGGCTTCGCCCATCTTTTTCAACTCTTCCCTAGCTTTGAAAAAGCTTAAATGAGTAGGTTTGGAGAGTTGGCTCCGCAGTTACAAGTCCTGCTGCTGACTCAGAGGACCCAGGTTAAATTCCCAGCTCCCTCACACACGGTGGCTCACGGCCTCAGTGACCCTGGCCCCTGGAAGCATTGCACATACGTGGCACACAGACTAGACGTATAAGCAAGCAAAACAACTATACGCATAAAAAACAAATAATTTTTAAATGAAATAAAAATGCCATTTACGTTGTTAGGATGAAAATTTCCGTGTTTTGAATATTTTCATAGTGCTGTGCGACAAGGGCTTCGGCCTGTAGCTCAGCACATTTTCTTTAGAAGAGGTGCAGTCCCCACTAGCAGATCCTCTTGAAGCTTCTTTTTCCACCCCAGGCATTTTGTATAAATGGTATTTGGCTTTTTTCACTGAGGAGAGTAGCATTCTCAAAGTTTGATACACCCACCCATCTTGTTATATCAGAGCTCCACCCTTCCAATTGCTGATACATTTTGTTAAGTCAGGACACATTTTATTGGCCCATCGTTGCCTGAGGGAATTTTGGTTGGTTCCGCTTTCTGGATATTTTGAAGAATGGTGCTGTGAGCATTTGCATACAAGGTTTTGAAGACAGGCTTCCAGTCCATTTCTTACGTGTCTCTGAGTGGAATTGCTGCATCTGTATGTGGCCTTCTGAAGGAACTACCGAGCCATTTTCCAAGGCAGATAGACCTTTTCTGTAGTCCCTCCATTTTTAGGCTAGGAAGAATCCAGTTTTCCTGTTACTGTCAATACTTATTCTTCCCTGATGGAAAAAAAAACAAAAACAAAAACAAGAATCTATCTTGGATTCTGCCCAGATTGCTCTTAGGTGGGGCTTAGGTATTTTCTTCCAAGTAGGCCATAAGAGACAACCAAATCTCAAGGCAGAAAATTGGATATGACATGACTTACCTTATGCTTACAAATTTGTTTTTAGATTTTGAAAATTGCATGAAAGTCACAATAATTTTCCAAGTGGCGCATGCCCTACTAAGTTCCCAAAAGGTTCCTAATTGACTATGGGTTTACTAAAGAAACACTGGGAAGATGGTTCATTTCCCTATCCAAAGGTGCTAATTAGTTGGACTTGCTTTATTGGCATGCTTCATTTGGAGAGAAGTGCCCAGGCATAGTGGCATGTGTCTTGTAATCTCAGCATTTGGGAGGTGGAGGCAAGAGGGTCACAAACTTAAGTCCAACCTGAACCAGAAGGCCCTGCATTAGACAAAACAAAATGGAAAAAAAGGGTGTGTGAGAGAGAGAGAATAGTGCAACCAGTGAAACTGTACAGAAAAGCCATGTGTAACTCTTTTCACCAGAGGGCTCACTTGGATATTCTGTTTGGTTGTGTCATTTTTCTTTTCTTTATTATATTTTTAAAACCATTGTTCTATTATTCTTTGCCAGTTTTATGCACAACTATAATATACTTCAGTCTTTTTTTTTTTTTTTTTTTTTTTTTTTTGAGACAAGGTCTCTCTCCATAGCCCTGGCTGTCACAGAACCCAATCTATAGACCAGGCTGGCCTCTAACTTACAAAGCCCTGCCTCGTCCTCCCAAGAGCTGGGATTAAAGGTGTGTACCACCGTACCATACATTGGTCATTTTCAACCCCAGCTACCCTCTCTCCTCCTCCTCCCCCTCCCACTGAGCCCCTCCTTCTTCCCAGCTGACTTGTTAATATTCTATGTAAAATTTTTACAATCATTTCTGTAGTTCGGTGAATCAAAGCATGTTATTACAAGTGTCTATAAGTGGTCTGCTTAATAAAAAGGAGACTTTGAGTGGCAGCACAGCAGTCGCCAGTCTTCATAATTAAAACAGTGTTTTCATGTTTCTAGAACATTCTCAATGTTTGGAATTCCTAGTGTTCTGTGCCTGGAAGAGGACCCCATATGACAAGAAATTGCCTTATGGGTCTCACCTCACCCACAGGGATAGCTATTCCTTTCTCTGTCTGCTACCTAACTTTATTCTTCATAGCAACCCT